GCCATCATCGCTAGTAGGTTGGAGGCCATCGCCCTTGGGTTGGAGGCTATCGCTCTTAGGTTGGGTTGGAGTTTCCCAAGGAAGTGAATCTTGTTTTGATCACACTTCACACCCTGCAGCTTTCCTCACTGTCTACTCAAGAAAAGAGGCATGACATAATATTGACTATACTATATAGATAAAGACAGTTGGCCCCAGTCAGATGAGCCTCTTTTGCAGCGAGCTGAATCCCAGAATGAGCTTGTCCTCGCACGTTCAGTCCCGAGGAAGAGCCACTTGCAGCGCTTCCAAACCTTTGAAAAGCTTCCACCAAAGCAGGTGGGCATTTTTTTTGAGAGGAACATGCGGAGTAAGCCCTCAGTAGTTTACCGGGATGGTCTACTAACTTTGTCACAGGGGAACATGTCTTGAAGTCAAGACCTTAGGGATGCAAGACCTGACAGGAGCGTACATTTTCAGGCCTCAGCTGTCCGCCATTTGCAGGCCGTCTTAGCGTTGACCGCTGATGTGGGTGCTGAAGACTGGGGTGAGGACTTGGAAGTAACTTGTACCTTTGTAGTCCCATGAGGTGTTTGATCACTTTTCGACTTGTCAGGAGAACCGGAAGTACGCGGACAAGCACTTGCGAATCTTGTCAGGTGACAACCTTGGATGAGAAGGTTCACAGAATCCTGTGCCTCACATGGAGGGTTTCCAAGAAGATCTTCGACAAGGTCTTTCTCAAACACATACACACAGAATATTATACAATTAGGCTGGGCTGTCGACGTTGGAGTCTTACAGATGCAGCCAGAGAGGAATTTTCTTTTGATCATCCCTGATGCCTGCCCCCCCATTGCCTAGCATGGGTCAACCGACCAAGTTTCCAACCCAACATTCAACGGCGCTGGAGATGACGTAACGACTCAGACTTCAGCATAGAAGGGAACCCATTCGATCTCCAACCTAGAAAGGGTTGAAAGGGTAACGGTAACGCCTTTTTTCATTGCTCTTAGGTTGGAGGCCATCGCTATTAGGTTGGAGGCCATCGCTAGTAGTTTCGGTGTTTCTGTTGGAGGCCATCGCTAGTAGGTTGGAGGCCATCGCTGGCCATCGAGGAGTGGAAGGAATGAGTGAAGACACACAGATTTGCACAGAAGCCTGATGTCATCTCATCAGTTCCCAGGTCTGTATGGAGTTGTTCGTCCCTACGATGACGTGAAGCCTGTGAGAGATATCCCAATGAACGCCAAGGTGAAGACCAAGAAAGGCAGGAAACGGAGAAACGCAAACGGTTTGTGCGTCTTTCTTTTCCCCTTGGAGACGAGTGAAGCTCCGCAATTGGAGACGATATTTTCTCCATGTGGGTCCATGTGAATGGATACCAGCTATGAAACCGAAGCTGTGGGAGCCGTTTCTACTGGTGGGCAACAACTTCCATCATGTTCTTTTTTCCAACCAATGCTGAAACCGGGAAAACTTTGTGCTAGGATGAGTTAAAAAAGCCGTGCATGCTTTGACTGACCAATGGACCAGCGTTTTCTTTGCTGCAGTGTCACATGGTTTGTCAGAAATCTATGAAGCCTTTCAGTGGTTCTTTCTCATTTCAAAAAGCACAGTGGGGTCAGTGGGATCTTTTGAATGAGTGGTGGCAAAGCCACCCGGCCGAAACTGCCACCCATCAGGCTTGTACCTCACGGAGTTCTGGGGGGATGCCATCACCAAGCAGCATGCTGGCTGCAGTGGGGTGGGGGTGTTGAAGATGGTTGGAATGCAAAACAGATGCATGTCGTGGTTCTTTCAGCTGGAGGAAGACTCGGAGGCCACCACCTAGGAACAGCCTCCAACCTAGAAGCAATGGCCTCCAACCCAACAACAGCCCTGAAATTTTGGGATTGTCATGACACTAGTGCACGTGAGAAGAGATCTGTTGATATTCCCTGTGAAATTCCCACAGCAGAGTCTTTGCCCTCTTTGGAGGCCACGGACGTTTCGTTTGAGCGACCTTTTCGCTGTCAAAGGGCTCGCAGCTGGAAGTTCATCGCTTGTTTTGGCCGCCCAACTCGCGTCGCGTCGAACATGGCCCGCCTCGGAGTGCGTGGACCCTTCATCATTATTGAAAAGGCGGCTGCGAGTGCGAGGAGCAAAAGCGCGCCAGCCGTGTGCCGTGAGATTGAGCAGAAGGAGCAGAATGAGCAGAACGCCAACAGGCCTGTGGACAAAGAAAGAAACAGAACACAAATGGAAAAGGAAAGAGAAATAGAGGTCTGAAGAAAGATATGATATAATTTATAATAAGATAAATAGGCACGGCAAATGAAAAAAGGAGAAAACAGAAGAACAAAGACCAGCCTGATGAGCGCTCCTAGCTGACCACCAAATGCCAGGCCTGTGGACACTTCGCTATATATCCGGACGCTGGAACCAAGGGCAAGTGGCCTTAGCTTCATGCAACAGCCTCTCCCTTGAGCAAGTGAACAGACCGATCGGCCGCTGGCCAGTGCTTGGATGTCAGCTTGGAAACCAGAGGAGTCAGGGGAGTTCGCTTGAGCTTCACGCAGCTTCTCCACCCAGGCAGCAAGCACTGGCATTTGAAGTTGACAGATTGCAAACTCCGCCTTTGAGAGCAAAGCTGTTTTGTTAACATAAAAGATGCTTCTGATTAGCAAAGTAGTGAGCTAGTTGCCCTGGCTCTCAAGCCGGATAAACCCCTGTGGGGACGAAGTTTCTTTCGCAATGCGGAGTTGAGAACAGCCGAATCTGAGAATCTCCAAAGTCCTGCATAGATGGGTGAACACAACTACAGGATAGATAGACCAAGCAGTTGCCCCGGAACCTTCTATGTTCCAGATATGTTGTTACCGAAGATTGTCCAAGAGCGCAGTGAACCATCAACAAACAAGATGGAACCCACGAACCCGAATGCAAACACGATCGAAAAACTAATATGTCCAAATGACACTCTTGTAGGACACTCTTGTGGGACTCTCTTCTGGGACACTCTTGTACGACACTCTTGTAGGACACTCTTGTAGGACACTCTTGTAGGAAACTCTTGTGGGACACTCTTGTAGGACACTCTTGTGGGACATTCTTGTAGGACACTCTTGTGGGACACTCTTGTGGGACACTCTTGTGG